CCCTGGGCGCCTCGGAGGTGCCGCCGCTGGGCCCGCAGGCTCGCGTTCGCCGTCGCCTGCTGCCCCCGGATCCGAGATGGACCCGATCTCCTCGACGCCCACCGACGCCGCGGTAAGAACACAAACTCTGCAAGCCTCGTTTTCTGAACTGCAAAAACAAAATACGACGGGAAAAGCAGCGACAGCAGGAGCAGGCTGCAGAAAAGAAGACACCGACGGAAAGGGGAAGAGACAGCACCTCAAAGTTCGGAACACATCTCCACCGTCGACCCTATAATCCTGATATCTTGGTATATACATATGTACACACGTATGTATGTAAGTATGTTTGCATGTATGCATGAATGGATGGATGGATGGATGGACGTATGTATGTGTATGCATGTATGTATGTCTGAGTATGAGTATGTATACAGTATGTCTATGTGTATGTGTACATGTCTGTGTGTATGCATGTATGCATGCATGCATACATGCATGCATGCATGTATGTATGTATGTATGCGTGCGTGCATGTGTGTATGTATGTATGTATGTATGTATGTATGTATGTATGAATGAATGTATATATGTGTGCATGTATGAATGTATGTATGGATGTATGGATAAGTGTATGTATGTATGTGTGTATGTATGTATGTATGTATGTATGCATGGATGCATGTATGGATGTATGCATGTATATGTATGTATGTATGGAAGGATGGTTGTATGTATGTATGTGTGTATGTATGTATGTATGTATGTATGTAGGTAGGTAGGTATGTATGTATGTCTGTATGTGTGTATGTGTATATTTGTATATACGTATAAATGTATGTATGTATTATGTGTATGTATGTATGCATGTATGGTTGTATGCATGTATGTGCGTATGCATGTATGTATGTATGGATGTATGTATGTATTTGTGTATGTATGTGTATGTGTGTATGTATGTATGTATGTATGGATGGATGGATGGATGGATGGATGTATGTTTGTATGTATGTATGTATGTATGTATGTATGTCTGTGTATGTTCGCATGTATGTTTGTATGTATGTATGAATGTATGTGTGTGTGTGCATGTAGGTATGTATATGTGTGTTTGTATGTATGCATGTGTGCATGTATGGCTGTGTGCATGTAGTTGTGTATGTATGGTTGAATGAATGCATGTATGTATATGTGTTTGTATGTATGTTCGCATGTGTTTGCGTATGAATGTATGTATGTGTATGTATGTATGTATGGATGTATGTATGTATGTATGCGTGTGTAAGTATGTGTAGTTTATGTGTATGTGTGTACAACTGTGTGTATGCATGCATGCATGCATGAACGTATGTATGTATCGGCATATATAGAAATATTTTGATAAAACTCAGACTCTGATCTGGAAGCTGCTTGTTCTAAGCCGACATGATGGGTGCAAATCCTGGCCCCCCCCACACACACAGGCCCTCGGCAGCGCCCAGCCGGCCACGGTGGCTGACGCGCACCCGCCAGTCCTCGTGCAGCTCGGGGCCGTCCCTCGCCAGTGGGAGGGGGAGGGTGGGCGGAGCCCACACCACGGGGGGGGGGCAGCGAGAGTTCAAAACGCCCCTGCGGGGGCCACGGGGGTGGCACGAAAAGAACAAATAGGGACCCAGAGCTACGCCGAGCTGACGCTTTCCATCCAAGCGTATTTCCGTGGCCCTGGGCCGGCAGATATGGATCCAGGCCAGAGAACTCCCCGCAGAGAAAAGGGCGGGAGCCCCGGGGCCGCGGATTGGAGACACACTGATCGGCGGGTGTCAGGGGACGTGCGACGCAAGACGCACAAGACGGTGGGGGTCGCCAAGATCGCGTGCAATACCGCTCTCTGAAGCGCACGCCATCCCCGTGAGGCGACCCCCCCCGCAAGGCATCCTTCTGCGCACGCGGTCTCCATGCGAGGGCCTCGTCGGTGCACGCCATCCCCCTGCCGGGGCTTCCTCTGCGCACGCTATCCCCCAAGGGGGGGACAGCGTGTGTGTGGGGAAGCCAAAGGGTACTGATACCGCTACTCCCAGGGCATCTCCCGGGGTGCATTCCGACCAGAATTTCGAGACGAATCCAGCGGCAGCGACGAGGGACGAATCCAGCGGTAGCGACGAGGGCCTCCCAGGAGGCCGAACAGGGGGAAAAGGAGGGAACGGTACAGTCAACCCGTGTAATAAGGATGCGGGATAAGGATGCGAGGGCCTCGGAGGGCCATTTCGAAGCTTCTCGAGCACAACGCGGCCAACGGAACTGGCCAAGGATGGACCGAGGAGGCAAGGATGCAGGGGTACCCCTGGGAAGGCTGCCCATCCCTACTATGCGGGTTGACTGTAGCGGCATGAGTTACCTTTAAGTCGGGCGTGTCCCCCTACAAGGGGATTTTCGACGAAAAAAAAAAAAATGCCCCAAAAAATAATCAAAAAAAAATCCAACAATAGTCTGGGGCTTATGTTTTGAATATGTTTTGGCCATGTTGTGGCATCTTTACGTACTCTGTATTTCTAGCGCAAAATCCCCCTGTAGGGGGACACGCCCGACTGAAAGCTACCTCCTCCTCCCCCGAGTGCCACGCGCGGGCCGGCGGCGCCACGCCGCACGCGACCCCTGCGACGCCAGCGAATGGGGCACCGACACTGCGAGCAGCGGCGCTCCCCTCGCAGGCAGACTGCGCGCCCCGCTCGCCTCGGGCCGGGCGAACAGGGGGGGACAGCAGAGGGGGGGTTTTGAGAACCAGCTCGCGCAGCTGACTTCCCCGGCGCCTCCCGGCGCCGGAGGCGGCCAGGTATCGAGGAAGGGGCCCCTCGGTGGGGCCGAAACCGGCTGCATGCAGCAGATTTCGTAAGCCCCCCTTTCCCGGTCCCCCCCTTTCGTCCGGCCCGACACTCCTCGGGCCAGAGGCACTGGCTGGGGCTGCAGGGTGACCACACGCTCTGATCGGGGAGTGCAGCGGGGAAGGAGAGGGCCTTGCGGCGGCGGCCAACGAGAAGGGCAGTGAGAAGGAGAAGTGTTCTGTGTCTTCGGAGCAAGCTCAGAAAACTTCTCAGAAAGCCAGGGGACCTCCGAGCCTTCTGACAAGGCCCGTCCCCCCTCACTCCCCCCTGGGCTCGCCGCCGATCACATGTTCGACCATGGTATCAATCGCGCCTGGAGCGTCTTCGGCGGTCGTCGGCGGTCTGCGGACGGTCTTCGGCGGTCTTCGGCAGTCTTTGGCGGACTTCGGACGGTCTTCGGCGCTTTCTGGCGGCCTTTGGCGGTTTCCAGCGGTCTTCGGCTCGAGAGCAGTACGGTTGCGTTCAACAAGGGGTCCATGATCGAACACCTAGAGGGCTCAGTCTTGGAGCTGTCAGGGGGGCTAAGGTGGCCCGCCGCTGCTTCTGGCCAGCTGCAAGATGGAACAAGGGCCCCCCTCGTCGCCACGGCGGGACGCGACTCGAAAAACTGGTCTGTTTGAAACCCGGAAGGGGTCTGGGGAGCGGTTTTGAGCGACCGTTCCGTCGCCCTACCTCTGGACAAACTCTCTCTGGGCTGATCCCGCTCAAGCCCCCAGGCCGCCCCCGCTTCCCGGCTCCGGCCAGGCCGAGTCTTGCCCAGGCTTCGCTCCTGCTGCTCCCTGTCTTGCCACGGGGCCACAGGAGGGCCGCCCCACGAGAGCGGGTCGCGGCATCTGGGGTCCGCGCGCAGAAGCGAGAGCCGTCGGAAATCTGGGGGGGGGGGGGGGAGACAGCCAGAAGATGCGGGGGGAAGGGAGCGCAGGGGGGCCAGACCTGGCGGCACGCCTGGAGCCTCAGCAAAAAACCTCCGACAACCGAGCCGTCTCAAGAGAACTCTCCGACTGCCGAGCCGGGGGGGGGCCGGGAGTCCATGGTCCATCCAGCGCCGACCCAAGGCATCCGCAAACCTCTGGCAGCGCGCGCCCGTTGACAAACGAACAACAGACACCCATTAAGACGAAGCCAGGCAGAGTCCTAGCCCAGTCCGGCCCATGCCCCCATTGGGATCCGAGGGAAGAGGACCAGCGATAGGTATAGGTGCGGCTTGTCGAACCCCAGGGAAGGCTCCCGTTCCAGCGGGGACCCCCATCCGACAACGCGAACCCATAGCCCTCTCCGTCTCCCCTATGGGTGTGGGTGTGCGTGGTTCGTTCGTCGTTTATGCCGTTCTAATCGCTCGATGGACCTTCCGCGACTGTCGCGCCGCTTCGCCCATGGAACTGGAACACACTTACCAAGAGTGGGGCCTCAAATGTGTCCGAGCGTGACAGCACCATGCGCCCGAATGTGCCCGAGAACGACCGAACAAATCGTTGGAAGCCAACACCAATCTCAATCTCGGCCACAACTTCAAGCGCACCACTCTTTCGGCCATACTGTCGGGCTTGTTTTCGGCCACATATTTCCGTTCTGGCGCGGGCGCTTCCGTCTGATAGGGGAAAGGAAAACCAGCAACCAATCGGGGAATCGGATCGGCTGTGAATGTGCGTCCGATCGGGCTGCATCAGCACGAAGTCAAAATCGAGCCGAATGTGCTCCCCAGGAGGTCTGGACCCCTTCCCGGGGGACTGGCTTGTCATCCCGAGTCGTTTCTTGACGGCCCGCGGGGTCTTGCACATGCCCCTGGAGCCCGAAAACGGCCAGCCCTCGTCTTCTTTTGACGACGAAGAGAGGTTTGTTCTCGACCTCAACTCGGGCCGCCAGCGGCCGCCCAGAACGACCGAGGCACCCCCGGAACGCTCTCGGCGAGGCGCAGCCGCCGCGAAGCAGCGCGGCGACGAGCGAACCTCCGTGAGCTTCCGAGAAGCTCCCCCCAGCCCCCGGCCATCGCCTCGGACGTCCACTCCCTGTGTTTTTGTTCCGCTTTCGTGCGCGGTCTTGTCGCCAGAGGATCAAGGATGCTCCCCGATGGTCCTCGCCGACGGAAAAAAAAATCACACGCCCGAGCGATGCCGAGGCCCTGCCTGTGAGCGCGCGCCCGTGGCGCTGGGCCGCCCCCGGGCCTCAGCTCCCCGTCGGGGCCGACCTGGAGCAGGGGCGCCGGGCACCTCGCCTCGCCCCCGGGGCAGAACGGGCAGCAGGGCTCGTGCTCCTGGGGGGGGGAGAGGAGTGTATGAAGGTGCCCTGGGACACACAAATAAATGCACACAAATAAAAAGATTCACCATATTTTCCTATATTTTCTGGAGTTTTGTCTTCCCCCCCCACTTCCCATTTTTTCCCAGATGTTCTGGGTAATCGACGATTAATTGTGTCTGTGTGTTTCTTTCCCTCCTGAGTGCATAGCGTCCTAGAGGCGCTCATCTGCTCGATCTGGCTTCGATTGATACGCCGAACGTAGTAACTGTCGGTTTGGAGCAGGCTTGCCGACCATTCTCCGCTTTTGCTCCGGATTCTCCCTCCCTTGAGTTTTCAATGATGTTCTCGAGCATGATGGCAGTATGGGGGGGCGGGACCGCATGACTGAGACGAAGGCAGGCTGACGACGCGGCGAGGGCATTTTCTCACCTCGAGTGCACAAGGCACGTGCTGGCATGAATTCGAGCGGTGAGCGCCCAGGGCACTCCGCCGAGACGCGGCGCACCTCAGAGCGGCACGAGCTGGGACTGCAGGCCGCGACACCGCTCGCGCAGCGCCGCCATCGTCTCCGGCGGTGAGGGCACGGGGTACGGAAAATATTGGATGAGGAATCTGCTGGGACGTGCGCCCACGTCTAGCCTGAAGTCGGGCCTGTGCCCCTACAGTTTCGACGAAAAAGAAATACCCCTAAAATAATCAAAAAATAGCCCAAAAATAGTCTGGGGACTATTTTTTGATTTTTGTTTTACCCTTTGGGGTATTTGGGGAGTTTTTTTCTATTTTTCGTCGAAACCCCCCCTGTAGGGGGACAGGCCGAACATAAGTCTCGCCTCAGCCCCCGGGGCAACACGCCGAGGGGGGCCGCGCGCGGACGCGAGGAGCGAGGCGGTGCGAGGGCCCGAGAGCCCAGGCACGAGCGGCAGGGACCGGCCGAAGAACGCCAGCGGGGCCGCGGAGCCGGGCAGGGGCGCGGAGCCGGCAGGCTGGCACCAACGGCTGGGTCCTGATGTCGGGCCTGTCCCCCTAGAGGCGGATTTTCGACGAAAAATAAAAAATACCCCAGGAATAATCAAAAAATAGTCCAAGAATAGTCCGGGGACTATTTTTGTTAGTATTGTTTGACGTTTTGGTGGCATTTTTGGGGTATTTTTTATTTTTCGTCGAAAATCCCCCTGTAGGGGGACACGCCCGACATAAGGCTGGGTCTGGAAGCGGGTGGAACAGTCACTGGCGCATGTGGCCATGGATATACCACCGCCGCCCTCATCATACGAGGAGCCCTCCAGGGCCCGAAGCCTCCCGGCCTCGGTGCGGAACGATCGCCCCCACCACACATCGGGCGGAGATGGAGCGGAAGTCTCGGAGAGCTGGCGGGCCTGGAGGGTGGCATCGAGCCCCGTGGCCGATCCTGAGCGCTCCGGAGCGCTCCGGAGCTCTCCGAAACGCTCTGGAGCGATTCATCCTCATCGTGGGCCTGCCTGAAAAGCGCCCACCTGCCCCAGCAGGAGGAGGGCGAACAAACATACTCGCGACGTCCCTCCGTCGCGGCGCGTGTTCCTCCAATTCGGCTCTTACCAGTGTTCGGTCCCCGAAACCATCAGTTTGTTCGGGTGGAGCAAGGGAGGAGATCACCCCGCAGGGCGTGGGGGGAGACGATGCAAGACCGGATCCACACCAGCTGACAAAACAATTGTTAAAAATTGCATGCTCGAGGTGATCCACAGGAGACTCAGCTACATTGACGACAGCTGCTGGCCCAGCTTCGGGCGGACAGATCCTGCCCTCCCCAAACGGAGAACAGGAGCACAGATACAGCGCCACGGACTAGATGCCTGGGGCCGGCTTCCGCCCGTATTTGGGAGAACGCTCTCCCACCAAAGTGTGGTTCCTTTCCCTCCGAGACGGTAACCAAAGCGAGGGGGAGGAGAAAAGGGCAGGAGGAAGGGGCGAGAAAAAAGAGGGGAGGAGGAAAGGGTGGGAGGGGGAAGACATCAAGAGCCGAAGCGACCCCACCGCCAAGGCAAAGGGAAGACGTCTTCGAGAATTGCGCAGGTGGACGAGGCGCGACGACAAAAAACAGCACCGATGAAGCAAAAACAAACAACTACTCTTCCACCAGCCGTTCCCGGGGCAGGCGGCCGCCGTGCGACCGCTGGCAGAGGCGAAGTGGAGCGAGAGGGGGAGGAGCAAGCAGAGGAGGCAGACAGCGGGCCCACCCCAACAGGGTGAACCAGCGCTCCGCTTCCGGGAAGAAAGGGAAGACTGAGAGGAGAGGGAGAGGGTAGCGAGCCTGGAAATGCAGCCTGCTGTGTCGCATTTCGCGCAAATCACACTACCACCCACGGAGGCTACAAGAGTCTACCTGCGATGATTGCTCGCCACTTTCGCCGCCGGTCGTCGCCTGCGGCTTGGGCCTTACTGCTGGGCTCCTGGCGGCCAAAGGGGTGCGATTTTGGGGCGATAAAGCGCCAACCGAATCACGGCCACGCGCGACCCAACGGGTCGTGAAGACCAGCGGAACCTGACAATAGCCCCAGGCTCGAGGTGCGGGTAGCCCACCTGTGACCCTCGTATCGGCCACGCTGCCAAGACAACAGGAGGAGGAGGAGGAGGAGGAGGAGGAGGAGGAGGAGGAGGAAGAAGAAAGGAAGAGAAAAGGGGAGAGAACAAGGCAAGCTGAGGCAAAACACATTGGGAATCAGCCTCTAGCGCAGCGAAGGCACTCACCAGCAGCTCCGTGGACCTCGGGCGGCGCCGCGTGGCCTCGCGGAGGTGGCCTCGGAAAGCGTGCACGGCCTCGGCCACCCAGAGTCCGTGGTAGACTTGCGCGTGCGCCATATGCAAGGCGTATATGAAAATCGCCCTCAATGCGCTCTTCTCCGCCTCCGTCAACAACGGGTTGTCCCACGAGGACAACGGGGACCGGTCGATGCCGACGAAGTCCTCCAGAGCGCGCTCCCTAGACGGGCGGCGGAGGCCCAGGTACCGCGAGCAGCAGCAATGGTAGCATCGGCCGAGCGCGTAATACTCAATCGCGTCCTCTCCAGCGCAGCCCATGATGCATGAGGAGCAGCCTGAAATCGACGCGCGGTCACCCCGTCATTGCTGACGGCCCGCACTGCTGCAGCCATGACTCTCGGCTCGACGAAGTCCGAGATGGTCTTGGTGACGCGAATACATCGTGATACCCAGTGCCCGGGCGGCGCTCGAACTTGCCATCGGCGCAGCCTGCGACGGAGATGTGCGAGGCTGCGGGGGCATAGTCTGGTCGGAGTAGTCGCGCAACTGTGACCTGCCAACCCACGGGTGCCCAATGCTGGATGTCCAGTAGGACATGCTCACCCGCGGCCGCTCCGTGCATCCGAAGAACGGCGTCCTCAAGCGAGAAGAGGAGGTCGCTCTGGTACCGCTCGTGAACATCGACGATGCGGGCGGCGTTTTCGTCGGTGGTCGTGGCAAGGCTCTGGAGTGCATTCGCGCTGCTCGTTACCTGAAACCCGCCGCATTGGCAATTTTCATGCAGAGCGACTCGCCGACGAGCGGCAACACTCGCGGATTCAATGTCGAGCGTCGCGGAAAGCCTAACAGCGTGAGGCTTTTGAGTAATCCCTAGGCCCGAGTAACAAACGACGCGGCACTTTGTTTTCGACGTCGGAAAAATCGGCGGCAACGGGTCAAACTGCGCGCAGAACAAGAGGATCGACGACACGATAATCCGGTATGCTTCAATCGTTTTCACCATGTCCACGTGCAGGGGTCGCCAGATCTCCGCGGGCGGCGCCCCAGGTGCGCTGAGCTCTCCATGCACCGATGAAGCACCCGATTATATTTAGCGGCGGAAGCGACTTCCAGCGCTCCCCAAAGCGGGGTGGCCTCGGCTAGGCGTTCCCGCGCCTCCACGACGGTCGTGGGGAAGGGTGGGATGAAAACCGTCTTGCGAAGGTTCAGGGCGAGCCCAGCGATGTGCTCGAATTCGGAGAAGATCTTTGCTGCCACTGGCAGGCAGGCCCAGCTGATCGTGAATGCGAGCGCGAGGTCGTCTGCGTAACCATAAACTCGCGCTCGAAGGATGGGAACGCCGCCGCGAAATCAAACAGCAGGGCCCCCCCCGTTGAGCTGCTGAGCGCCACTCGGAGCATTGCCTCCTCCATGCGAACCAGGTCAGCAAGCATGGAGCGGCCGCCGAGTAAACCGCGTTGGATATCCCAAGTACCCCGACACAATGACTGGCTCAATGGCGACGCGGACCACGTTCGATATGAGAAGATTGCCCGTGTTCGCCATGCTCAGAGGCCGGGTTCCAGAAGGCGTGAGGTGGCCCTCCCCTGTCGGGAGAATGCCAGCAGGCCTCTTGGGGGAGGAACATCCTTGGTTTCCTCCTTGGCGAGGCCCGTCTCGCCGCTCCCGTGGATGTAGTGCACCGAATTGAGCAATAAGGACGCTGAGGCCTTGGTGCACCGGCGCCATGCCAGAAAGGGGAGTCCGTCGGGGCCTGCGGCCGTGTTGCTCGAGGTCCTGAGGGCGCGAACCACGCGTAACTTCTGGAGTCGTGCCCGGAAAAGCCGCGTGTTGACCATGTCCGCAACTGGCAAGCGGCCTGGTGTCCACGTCGTCTTTCAACCACTGGCCCAGCAGCTCCCCGTCGGTACCCTGCGCCTGGAAGGTCTTAGACCAGTGTGCACCCAGCGAACGAGCCATGTCCAGACACTCTGTGGTCGCCTCGCCGTCGTCCTTGAGGATTCCGCTGAGCGCGCTGCCCTGGCCAGGGGCGAAAGGAAAAATCAGGCGGTTGATTTGATCTTGACGTGCAACCTGTGCTTTGAAAGCGTCCTCGTCAGTGAGATCGGCCCGATGCGCGCGTGCACTTCGTCACATCTGTTGCAAAGGGTTCTTGCGACAGCAAGCACGCAAGGGCGTTCGAACAATTTCGCCATGCGCGCGCGAGAGACACGTTTGGTAGCACTTGGTGAACATGTTGAAAGCCTATATTTGTCTTAAGAACTCGCAAGAGCG